GTTCATAAAATACTGTCCTCTATTAACGTTTCTAAGTCAACGATGGAGTTTCTAAGTCAACGATGGAATATCTAATAAACTTCTAAAAGATTCAGCTGATATAGTATCTTACTCTCTTTCATTAATATTCAACACATCCATAAATACAGGTATATTCCCAAACGATTTCAAAACAGCAATAATCTCACCAATACACAAAGCAGGATGCAAAACTGAATGCAATAACTATAGGCCAATCTCAATCCTATCTAGCGTTGCCAAAATTTTTGAAAAACTTATTACCCAACAACTGGAAACTTATCTTGAAACGAATGGGTTACTTGTACAACAACAAGCTGGTTTTAGAAAGAAACACTGTACGCAGACTTCTCTCCTTAGCATTACAAATCAATGGTTTATTAACATGGATAAGGGAAATTTGAATGGTGTTATCTTTCTTGACTTAAAAAAAGCATTCGATTAATTGTGTTGATCATAGTATTCTATTAAGAAAACTTTATAATTATGGAATAAGAGGAAAATCATTTCAATGGTTCCAGTCCTATCTCTCTGATAGAGTACAAATGTGTAAAGTTAACCAAACATTATCTAACAAAAGAATCGTTAAATGTGGTGTGCCACAGGGCTCAAATCTTGGCCCATTATTGTTTTTATTATATATAAACGATCTTCCAAATTGCTTGTCTTCATCGGCTGCTAGCATGTTTGCCGATGATACAAATATTTCTACACATGGCTCATCAGCGGCAGAAATTCAGGAACAACTAAACCATGACTTAGACAACATACACCAATGGTTGCTGGCTAATAAGCTTACTCTGAATAAAGAAAAGACCGAATATATGGTAATTGGGTCTAGACAAAGATTATCTAAAGTATTAAATGAGCCGGAAATCCACGTAGGCGAAACAACAATTAAACGAGTAAGCTATTCTAAAACTCTAGGCGTTGTTATAGATGAGAATCTTACTTGGGAAAGGCAAATCGAAAACATACAGACTAAAATGTCAAAAGGTATCGGCATGTTACGGCGAATGAAAAAAATAATTCCTAAAACAACATTGAAAAAAGTATATAATGCCATTATATTACCACATTTCGACTACTGCAGCCTTGTTTGGGATAATTGTAGTGATTATTTAATTGACAAACTTCAAAAACTGCAAAACAGAGCGGCACGTGTAATCACTGGCAGAACATACGAAACAAGATCACGCGATGTTTTAAAAGAACTACATTGGCAACCCTTGATGCATAAGGTAAGGAATAATGAACTGCCAATTAGTATGATGAATATGTTTGATATTAAAACAAACTCGCGGTATAACCTCCGTAGCAACAATCGAGATTTCACCCTCGACAAACCAAGTACAAATTTTTTGAAGAAAAGCATAAGCTATACAGCCTCTTCGGCCTGGAATAATTTGCCTCTTGAGGCTAAAGGTTCAGGAATTACTAGTCAGAAATTCAAGTCCATTCTTGATCATTATTCCTCGCGTTAAAGTGTATGCACTTAATCTAAATTTAATTAGTGCGTTCGTTTGTAAGGGGGAGGGAGGGGGGGGGAGGTAGGGTTAATCGTTTTATATTGTTATATATGCATGCCTGTAGTTCTACTTATCTGTATTGTATTGTATATTTATATTATGTAATATTTTTAACCAAACAGCCTCTTGAAAAACAGGTGCGCAAGTGCCCTGAAGAGCTACCGTTTCTAAATAAGATTAAATAATAATAATAATAATAAAATAATAATAATTTGTTGCAGTGTATGTTGTTTAAACAAATTTGCCATCTACAGCATTGATTTATTTTTCACAATTCTGCAAACTATTAATGGCAGCTGGCAATGTCACATGTAACACAAGGCCGTCAGAAGTGGGGGGTTTGAGCCCCCCCCCCCTAAAATTTCCATTTGTATAAGCAAAACACACAAAATAACTAGAAAAGTGCAAAAGCAATTAAAATTTATTCAGATATATTCTTGAGTCCCCCCAATATTGACTTACTTCCGATGGCCTTGTAACATCCTGCCCAGATTTTTTTTAATTCTATAACGCCCTGTATACAAGGTTAGTACCCTATTGAATAACTTGCACACCTGACACCACTATAAAGAAAAATGGGCCGGCCATTGCTAATGTGCCAGTTGAAAGGTAAGCATGAGCTACTAAGTGTGTTAGCTTATTTAGGTCATGGAACAAGACAATTACAAAAGTAGTAAAAGAGGACACATTAGTTGTGAATATGTTTTTTTTTGCTATCATCACGATAATGTTCACCCAGCATGAAATGAAAAGGTAGTGCACAACCTGTGCAGAGTCCATTTTGCATGTTGGCACACAATTTGGCATTAAAATTGTATATTGTTGATTGCTAGGGGAACAGGTGAGGACTCTGAACCCGGCATTGCTTGACGAGTAAGATACTTCCCAATTACACATACCACATGAAATATCTAAGGTTACAAGGTGGCAATATATTTGTAATACTAATTATATACAATATCTCAAATGCTCAGATGTATGGTAAATTAAATTTGAAGTGCACCCCCCCCTTTAGATTTTTACACTCCCCTGTTGGCCAAGGGTGTGTACCTCTGTCAACCCCCCTCCCCTCCCCCTATAAACCCAACTGTATGTTGGGATGGATTTACTGGGGGGGGTGCACCTCCCTAGCCCTGGCCAGGGGGGGGGTGCTATTTTTCATGATAAAACAAAAAAATATTATAGAGACAAAATGAGATACAGTAATTTGAGTGATATCGATAACATGATAAGAAGCAAACTGTGAACAACAATTACAATTCAAATACAGTAGTCAAGCAAGACTTGACCTGTAAGTTGATGGGCGGGTGGCATGCATGACCAACATAACTTGGCATTAGAGCTGGCAGATCAACCCCCCCCCCCCTCCTACCAGATCATGCTGGATCCATCCCTGCCACCATGACTGTTAGTGTTGGTGCTAATTAAACAGTGCAATCTTGAACGGTCTGTGCCAGGCTAGATAGAGACGATAACAAAATAACTAGATATAACTTAGTACCTGAAAAATTCAAACAGAACTTCACTTGAAAAGTCAATAATTTGTACTTTCCGCATGGATTTTCAAGCTCTGTGGATTATGGAATATAAACTAGGCTGTTATTACAATTTTCAAAATTGAAGTGGAAAGTGTCAAAAATTTCTTATCTTGGCCAATCTATTTTTTACTTTTAAAGCATAATTCACTGAAACATATAGATATTAATTTAAACTATGTTTGAGAAAAATTCATTTATAAAATCTTTTTTCAGATTAATCAGGTAAAGAGTAAGATACCTGGCATATCAGAATATAAGTTCTACCAACCAAAAAGAATAAAAAGATCTGCACTCCTTAGCTTGGCGCCATATTGAATTTCGCGGTCGCGCTGGTAAAGGCCTGGGGACTAGGTGCTCTCATTGAACTATAAATAAACTGGAAGGCTAACTCAGGGGGGGAAATTGAAGCCAGTGCATTTTAGTTTTTCTGAGTTATGAGCAGAAATACTCAACACTGAACGTTGGGCTATATATCAAATTGAAGCTATTGAAAAACGTTATTTGGTGTAGAAATTTCAAGACTTTAGCTAAAAGGGAAATATTGAAAAACTACAAACATAATTACCGATAATTTGCCGTTTTGCAGTTGTTTTTGTATTTTTTAAATATTTTTCTTTTCGCTGAAGTCTTGAAATTTCCACACCGAATAGCAATTTTCAATAGCTTCACTTTGATATATAGCCCGACGTTTGGGGTCAAGTATTTCTGCTCATAACTCAGAAAAACTATTTTGGCTTCATCAAATCATAGGCCTTCATCATAGCAGTTAGCCTTCCAGTTTATTTATAGTTCAATGGGTGCTCTACATTGAACTATAAATAAACTATAGTTTATTTATAGTTCAATGGTGCTCTACCGTATCTGAACCACTGAGCTATACTATATTACTGGAGGACCTGCTCGGGATAAAAAAGTGTCGCCAAAAACATGGCGGATCTGACGCCATTGCCATGACTACTGGTCCCTAAATTCATGGCAACTACCACTGTCCCAACCGCGATCCTAAGCTTTCGACGATGTACTTCACCCCCCTGGTTTGAGCCTAAAAAATTTGTTTTTGAGAAGAAAATCTCACTGAAAATCGTGATATTTTTCTTCCAATTTGCTTGATTTACAACGGATGCTGCATTTTTACGCCGCTCGTATGTGTGAGAATTCTCCAAACAAGAACGAGAAGAATATATTTTTATTCACCGGTAAGATTTTATACAGTTATTTGAATATTTCTAGATTCTAGCTTGCTGTGTCTGCTTGCTTTTATATTAAACTCGATAGAAAAAAATTTAAGAAATGTACGAAGCACAAACCATAGGAAAATGGTTGGGAATCCTGTAAATTTTATTGATTTTAATACCACTAGTCTCTGTGTTTTCATAGCCATAGGGTTTTAAAACCTGCTTATAGACTATAGTGTCAAAATCCTCACTGTGCACTTACTGTATATTTATTTTATAGCACTACAGGCTTTTATAGTATTATAGAGATATAAGACAAATTTTCCCTGACAAGCTTTGAGTGATATATATAGCCTTGCCAGCGGTTCTTGTAGCAGTTATATATAATGACTGTATATACTGTAGTTATATTATTTATCACTTCTACAACAGGCAGGTGAAAATGAAATTGTTTTGCTGAATATGCTGGGCCAATTAAAGGCCATTAAAGATATCAAGTTCAAACCATTCAAATGATTCAATACCCATTGCAATCAAGCAATGACCATAAACCTAAGCCCCAATGACAGACCCCAAATATAAGCCCTCCTGTGTAGAATTGCACCACAAGAAATTCTGAATATAAAGCCCTCTCCCAAATTTAACCCATTAAGCGCCAGCACTCTCCCCTTGAAGAGTAAAATCGTCTGGTGTTAGACAGAGTAAAATACCAAAGTAGGGTGCATCAGGGTGCAATGCAACTCAATGGGTTAAATCCCTCTGTGTGAGCCCATAAACTTATTTTTGGACAGGTATTTTTTAATGCAGCGAAGGGGATTCCAACAGCTCAGCCCATCAAAAATGCTATTGAATGAATATAAGCATTGGGTTGTTCCAGAAAAGATCCACACTCCCCACACAGGAAATTTCAAATTGCCGATGATTGATAACATGTACATTTGAGAGCATCTTCAGTGGTGGTATATTATATCCCCAGTATTGGAGTAGAGCCCAACTGTTCAGTTAGACATTATTTACGAACTTCCTGTCTTATATCTGCATAGATTATTTTTGATATATTGTAATGTAAAATGAAACTTTGGGATAGTTAAGAAATACAATTAATCCATTTATAATGGACAAGATTGTCCCCTTAACAAGTAAAATTGCCTGGCATATTAGATGGGCTCATAAATGACATACCATATTAATTAACCATTAGGTTGCATTGTGCCCTAATGCACCCTAGCTACTTTATTATTTTACTCTGTCTAACACCAGACAATTTTACTTGTGAACTGGAGAGCCACTCAGTGCTCAATGGGTTAACATGTCAATGTCTAACTGAACTGTCTGGGCTCTGCTCTGCAGTAAATTTCCTTGTAATTGGAGTCTGGGATCTGTGACCCAATACATCTTCAGTGTCTTCATATGGTACTGTCACTATTTTATATGTATAATGGACATTTCTCATTTAGGGTGAATCTGATGTAAGTCATGTGGACAAGAAATTAATACAAGTTCTTTCGAATGTTCAAATAGCAAGAGTTAAGTGGTGCACTAGCTCTTGCCAGACTTAACTGCATGCCAGAACTAACAATTACTTTTCTCTATAATTTTGTGGGAATGTGTTATTTATATGTATGTACTACAAACAGCCAAAGAATAACCAATGAGCTCTAGTTTTAATTTTTTAATAATACTGTTAAGTATTACATGTAACTTGATTGTACAGTTAGGTTTTAATATTATTTACTGCTAATGGGTCATATTCCAGAAAACATCCATACCACCCCCACAGAGGAAATTACGTACATTTACTATTATCAGAAACAATTTTTTCTCCCCTCCCCCTTCGGACGTCAGAAATTTCCTCGGTGGGGGGAGTGTGGATCTTTTCTGGAACGTCCCAATTGGATAATTATTCTTTAACCATGCAAGTTGAATTAAAATAAATAATATACAAAATCAAGCAAATTTTTGTCTTTAATTAATTTTGAAACAATTAATACATGTTTCTTGGAGGTTCTCTAACAACAGTGGCATGAACTCATTGTGGGAGCATTCTGCAATAAGCAAGAATAGATTATAGCCATAGGGGCTATCAATATGGAAGCCAGGCTGGCCTGGTTGGCAGAACTATTTATTATTTCCAGATTAATTTCCTTGCCAACACAATTCTATTGTTTTGACAATATTTCCATGACCAATGTTGTATTGACTTTACTTAGACCAGGTCAGTCCAGTTAGTGTTTATATCCATAAAATATCTTCCCGGTGTAACTGAGAGCTTGCCTTCTTCAGGTGAGATATGAAAACTGAGCCAGTCAGGTTGTCCATACAATTTGAAAGGAATTTCCACTATAAAAATAACCACACAGTGAGTGAGATCTTGCTTACTGGCCTAGGGCTAGCTGTCACATTAGCCCCTACCTCAGGAACACCAGAAATATGCCAGCAGTTGAGTCAATTAACCCAATACTTATAGGGATGGGGCAAACAAGTTAATGCATGGCCTTTTAAAGATACATGCAACAAACTATCAGAGAGCACACAATATACATGCAAACTTGGGCAAAAATGCATATGCATTTTCAGATCAGCTGAGCTTTTTCCAGCACCAGTTCTGAGCTCATGCATGAAAAAACCCGGTCTTGGCTAAATCTATAAAACCTTACTTCCCTCTTTAATATACTAGCACATAATAGTTTCATGTCAACTCAAATATTTGTCAAATTCATATACATGTACAACCATTAATTCCTTGGGATTGAGGGATGAAATTATTATATTTTAAAATTAAAAGATTCGTCTACAACCACATTATAAATACTCGTGGCTTATTTTCTAAAAAATAGAGTACATTCTACCATTTATTCCTAACATTTTTGCATGAAATATTTAAAATAGTAATGTAAATTTGAAAAATGTATAAATACCTGTTTATAATCTGATAAATACGGATGTTTGTTCTGGCTTGAAGTATCGTTTTTGCCCACATTTCGCGAGGTTTTAATAGTTGTTTGTTGTCTTTCACGCTCCACAGACGAGAATTAACGTGTACAGCTTCCACATCTTTGAACAAATTGTCAACAGGCGAAAAAATATGTCGAAAATATCAAAACAACAAGGATTCACTGCAAATTCGCCAAATTGCAAAAAGCCGAAATATTTTTATAAAAACCAGGGGGGAGTGAAAACTGTGGCGGGCTCATAATTGAGCCTTGTTCAGTGGCAATTACCATGAATTTAGGGACCAGTAGTCATGGAAATGGCGTCATTTTTCATCAAAATCCGCCATTTTTTTGGCGACACTTTGTCAGTGAACTCTATATATATATATATCTGGAACGATAACATTCAGTTGACTGAACGAAGTATAGGAGCAGGTCCTCCAGTTATTATACAGCTCAGTGGGCATTCCCCCCTGGACGTCCGCCATTTTGAATATTATCAGGGGGTGAATGCCTCTCAAACGCGCACTGGCTAGGACCATGGAGTTAGCATTTTTAAGGTTACGCCAAAACCATTGGAAAATCATAGGAAAAACCAAGAAGTCGGGCTTGTGTATGACTTATTCTGTGGTCACGTGTACACACGTAAATTCCAGATGTGTTCGCAACAGGCTTGTAACGAGCTTGTCAGTTGTCAACAAGTTGTAACAATGCTGATACGTTATTTTATCAAGTTGCTACAAGGTTGTCAGGCTCACAACTTGTAACGTTAACAAATTGTTGAATGTCTTGAATTGCAGGAGGTTAACAAGTCTGTTGAGCTCAACAACGTTGTAGCAAGTTGTCAACAAGCCGATGACAACTTGTCGACAAGCTAGCTGGGAACAAGCAGTGCGAACAAATCCTGATCCTGTTGACAAGTTGTTGGAACAACATTGCTCCAAGTCTGCTGCAGGCGTGTTACAACTTGTGCGTTTTTAGGTGTGTAGGTCACGTGTACCTGGATGAGTCACGTGCGGCGTTTTGGGTTTCAATATTCAAATTGCACGAACACATGCAGACTATTCCATTCTATGTTGACTCTTCGAAGGCTTTCGTTACGGCGTTAGATGGCCTAGCTATTTTTATAGTGATATCGCCTTGGTTGTATATGATTTATATGTAATCCTTTTTATGATTTTTGCATGATAATTTTGGTAATGTTCCCACGGTAGTTGAGGCTGCTAGGGATCAGAGAGAACACTATGTAGACGGAAAGGAGCTAGGACCCGCGGAAAGGAGCTACGACCGCTCGCAGTCGAATAAGTCGATCAATGCGTTATTTTCGGCACATACCATTGTTCACTAACTTCCCAATTCATATATCGTAATTTCTTAAAATAAAATTTTTCCGGTAATATTTTCCGGTAAATTTATCAAAAATTTTGCTATAACTATTACTTTTTAACCCGAACCACTCAAATATTTTCGCTGATTACGAAAACGATTTGCCGATAAAACGGTTATTTTGCCGAAAAGACGTTTTCAGGAGGGTGTCATACCCCCATATAGCTAAGGCCCTGATGTGAGAATCGACACAGTTGAATAATTTTGCGCCGTCACAGCAAAATTAAGAAGCTACTTTTGCATTATTCACTACGTCTACATCAGGTAGGTCGTGAACATATTTACATAAAGGAGAACGGTATTGGACCGAGGATAGAACCTTGAGGGACTCCAGACATTACAGGTTTTCCAGACGATGTAGCCCCTAGAACAGTCACACGTTGCCTTCTGGGGCCGATTGTATAAAACTCTTAATCACTTTTTTAATCATTATTTTGTAGTTAAATAGTGATTAACTCTCAAATACGGGCTTCTTATTGGATGACGTTTCCACTCACTATAATTAACTTTAATCACTTTTTTATACAACCGGCCCCTGTTCAACAAGTAGGAAGAGAACCAACCGAGTAAACTACCAGAGATGCAGTTGTGAAGTTTATGCATAAGAATTTGGTGGTTAACTTTACAAAGGCTTTGCCTTTGGATATCCGACGTGAGTCATTGTAGATCTACATATCCAAACTGACGTGAGTTAGTTTGATCTACATATCCAAACTGAGTGACTTTCCCAAACGTGAGTTTGTGATAGATCACGTCAGTTTGTTTCCCAAACTGACGTGAATTTATTATAAAACACAAAATACTCGGAAAAGTTTCTTCTGAAATGCAAGAAATATGTGAGGTTTCCAAAACCTTTAAACCCCTTTAAATTTTGTTGGAATTTTAGTATTTTACACGGAAAATGTTTTTGATCGGGCATTGATACCAAAAAGTCGGGCAAATTTATTTCTTCCTCCCGTACGGCTGTTGTGTTTGCATCCATATACACACTGTAAACCATAATGTCGTCGGCTTCGTGTTTGTTGTTCTTTGGTCTTTGGCGCGATTTAGAAAGCTGTTCTGTGATTGGTCAATAGGACATATATTTATGTTCTGTATTTGCCTTGAGCTTTTGTGAACATCTGTCGATATGGTAACGTGAAAATTATATCTTTGCTGCGTCTATTCAGAGCTTAATAGTATCGATTGTTCAAAAGTGACTTTTAGCTTGTTATGAATGTGACATGAAAGGATGAACCATAAATTGACTTGGACATTTGATCGATTTTACAAGCTCGATTCGAGCAAGGTTAAACGAACCTACCCAAGCGGTGTTTCGTATAAAGGAAGCTGCAAGGAAAAAAAGCGCAGTGGTGTTTTTAGGTGGCCAAATGGAGCGTGTTATAATGGCGAGTTCGTCGAGAATAAAAGACACGGGGAAGGTAAACAAGAATGGCCCGATGGCTCGTCTTATGTTGGAGAATTTCAAAACGATGTACGAGAAGGTTATGGGCTACACACGTGGTTCAATGGCGAGGTAATTACAATGTCAATGATTATATGTTGGAGTGTTTAGTAACAAATGTTTGCAGCATTGTAATAATTACTGCTTCCAAAAACAATAATGATAACTTTAAAAAACCATGGGAACATTCTAAGGATCGTTAATATGGTTATTAAATATTTAATAGGGGTATAAAATCACGAGTGGTCGGTGCCAGTGGGTATATACTATTTCGCTGACCTCAGAATGACATTTCGTCAAAACTTTTTTCTTCAAGATTGGTTTAGAAACAAACTTGGAGTAGCGTTAGGTTAGGAATAGGGTTGGGGTTAGGATTAGGGTTAGAGTTGGTGTTTGGAATAGGGTTAGTGTTAGTAAAACAGTTGCTTGGTTACGTTTTGTCACTTTGAGGCCAGCGAAATAACCTCTTCCGTGCCTGAGTGCTGTAGTGCACCACAGCTGTCTGTCATCTACTGTCTCTACCTGTTGAAGGATGTACAGGTACCTGAAAATTCGCAAGTAGGAAAATAGTGTGGGCTTTTTGTCATGTGATTGCTTTTATTAGTTTTATGCATGTTTACTAACATAAAAGCACATATAATTTCCTCCCATTCTTGCTATTAAACTTTTACAGATGAAGCTAGGGCCTTCTCTTGAAACGTCTAAAGGCTGGTTTTCATTAATCAGCGACACTTGCCAATATCGATTCTGTTTAACTGCCTATCATAATGCATCCGCAACTGTCTCAAGTAATAAAAAAATTGTTTTGTTGCGACAGTTGGCGGTAGTTGCAGACACTCTACAATAATAAAACAAATGAAAACACTATTTGCAAGTTGTCTGCGACGGTCTGAGACAGTGTTACCAAGTGATGAAAACCAGCCTTAAGTTCTGCTTATATTTTTCACTGCAGAGCCATACGCAGGATTTTTTCACCAGGGAGGCAGTAAGACCTATATGCCGAAAAAAGTCCCAAATATCCAAAGAAATAATAATGTCATTCTAAAAACCATATTAATGAAATATAGTTTTCTCTAGAGGGGCAGTTGCCACCCCTGCCCCCCCCCCCTGCTGTGTACAGCCCTGTTTTTCAGGCAGTTGTATATCCTTCACACTGCAGTTGTTTCTTAAGCCAAGGTGACAAATTCTGCGTACAAAATTCCGATGTTTTTAAGCAAAAATATCAATATCTACCGCTATAAACAGTAATTGTAGGGTCATTTCAATTTACTACATAATAAGAAATATATTAGAAAATCGAGTAAAAGTTCTCGGCTTCACAAGAAATCTGACATATTTAATATATACAGTGAGTCCCAACATAAAACAAAACAGAAGTCTGTATGTCATTGACGTAAAAACTGTAATTACTTGTTTGAGCGCCGTCCCCGAATAAGCATTGTCCCCGAATTAAGCGCTGTCCCCAAATTAAGTGCCATACTAATTTTCAATCTGCGGCTCAGTACCGTGTGACAGCATTTGAAGTTTGAGAAGCCGAAATACAGTAGAAACAATCACAGTGTGTTGGTTTTTGCTATCGTTTTGCCAAGGCGTAAAAAAACTACCTGTGGTTCCAGTTCCTGACCGACCCTATTTTTTTCTGCCGACCCTATTATTTTTTTCAACGCGATTGACTGTGCGACCCTATTTTCTCGAGGTGGTTGCGAGCTGCTCATACACTGTGCCAAAATGGCATCTGTTTTCACACTAAGTATTGAACCAAATTGCCTAAATTCGTCCATAGGAAATTCGCATCTCTAGTTAATATTGATGTTGGGACTCTACTGGAAATCGCCCAGCAAAAAAACTGCCAAAACCATGAAAAAAAATATTTAAAAAAAAACTTATTTCCAACCTACCAACCCTAAATTTTTCACGATATGAAACGGAACCACAGGTATTTTTTTAGGCCCAACCAAAGGTACAGATCGTAAATGACATAATATTGTATATTGTGTGAACCGCGGAAGTGCAGTTGCAGAAATATTACTACATGTAGAAGTTCAAAAATTAAAATGCTAATAAGTCTTAGTGGTTAGTGAAATGATGAATATCAATGACAGTCATTACACTTTGAAGGACATCCCCGTTCGTAAGGCTTACAAAAACGTCTTGTATGAGATCACACAAATGTATCCTTTTGTGAATTTAAATTAAGGGGAAAATAAAAACTTACTTTACCAAAATTACTTTACCAAAGTTTAAATTCCGCGATTTAAACTGAATTTCGCGGTTTAAACTGATTTCCGCGGAATTCAGCGATTTTTGGACAATTCCGCGAAATCGCGGAATTTCCAGAATGCCTGAAAAAGGGGTATATAATTATGTTCATTCAAATTAGCATGCCTCACAAACATCCTATGAGTATGGCTGCATGCAAGCAACCAAGGGCAATGCATATATCCTGGAGGCATATATATCCTGGAGGAAACTTTTTGGACATTTGCAGACTAGTATAATCTACTCTTGAATGTAGAATAAATTACCGGTATGTCTGCTCCTTCCTCCTATTTTTCGGAAGGGATTGTCATTCTTGCCAACGAAAAGCAAAAATGGAATTTTATATTTTGTGATCACAACAAATTTGGCATATAAGCATGTTAAAATGTACCCAAATGCTAACAGTTTATACACATTTGAAACCGCTAGGATATGACAAGTTTAAATATGTTCAAATAAATTTATGACATGCAGTATTTCTGAAGTTATAATCGATTATGTGGTGAATTATAATCCTATAAGAAATATTACAACAGATAATCGATCAATCCGTTGAGATTGTAGGAGATTCAAATATGGATAGGCTTAGAACTGACCGTGCAGAGGGCGACATTTTGAAAGAACTGGAGGAAGGCAACAACTTTCACTGTATGATAAAGGAATTAACCAACGACAATTACTGCACACTCTCAAACACTCTTGGATTTAATATTCACTAAAAGTATTACTAATAGCCCGGAATAACGGAAAAGGGTCGAAAACACAGACCGCAAAGACAATAACTTTTAGACAAATGAAGACTACAAATTTCGAACAACTGAATTAGGATTTGCTCAATGCACCTTGGCAAGTTGGAGATATAATTAATCGACGACAATTGCGATTACTGGAATGGTCTTTATGAAAGTATTGTTGATGAATTAACATGCTCCCATGAGAAAGCAAAGAGTGTGTGAGAACGAAATACCATACATGACTCCGGAGTGGAAAAAGGCTATATTCATGGGATATGCAGTTTAGAAGAGCCTTGAACTGTAGCGTGACACCTCTTTCGCACTTTATCACCAGGTCGATACGGATGGAAAGGGTTACCAGGTTTTTCTCGTTTTCGAGCTCTATCCTCTTGTGCTTTTTTAACACGGTGCCGAACATCTTGATAAATCTTCCCACACTTTGCCATGCTTCGCCTAACCATTTCTGCTTGTTGGTCAGGTTTTTTCCGGTTGTACTTCAACCTCAGTTTCCTCAATCGGGTCTGTCATTCTGCCACCAAATGTGATAGAACAAGAGGCGTCAATTCGTTTTCAAGTTTTATATAAATCTCTTTCTTTTCTTTTACAAACTCAATAACACAACAACCTTTTTACACACGAGGTGCGCAGTTGACCGGCAGCGCTCGCAAGCACAGGTAGCCCAACTCTCACACCATGACACAGTTGGGAATATTCTTCAAATACAAGGGCAGAAAGCTTTGGATTGGTATAACAACAACCATCAAGTTATCAAGAAAACAAAGGAAATTAAACTACTAGGGGTTAACATTAATTATGCGCCAAGTCTAGTCAGAAAGTAGGAGATCTTAGTTATAGACTACGCGAGACTACTGTACGTAACCTAATATTTTGCAGTGGTAAATTAGCATTATACAAATCGTCCACCTTACCTTACCTAACATACTGTCACCTGGTAGGTATCAGATGATAAGAAGCTAGAACGTATTCAAGAGCGAGCGCTGAGGGCAATATACAGATCCAATACAAGAGTCATACGTACTATTTACAACATGAGCAGCCGTGTTGTATCTCGCCTTCGGCTCGAGTTTGTATATCCGATACAACACGGACGCGAATGTTGTAAATGACTTAAAAAACGACTCATCTTATGAGTTCATTGGCGAAGTAATTTTAAAAATAAACGTTGTCTAAGCCGAGAAAATCAAAGTTAAAGTTTATGTAAATCAACATGAATCTGTATCACATATACAGATACGACACACTTATGATTTTTCTTTGTGTTTTCTTCATGAATTATTAATGAGTTTTTTAACAGGAATTACTCCATCGTGCTAAACTGCCTACACTGCGAAACGGGCATTTACAGGACATAGCTACACTGATGTTTAAGGTTAAGCATGCACTTGCCTCTCCAAATTGTTTGTAATCATATCTGAGAAATAGTGACTTTGACATTCCAAGGATTGAAACTGTACGTTACGGAAAACGTTCGATAAGACGTCTACTGTGTAGGCCCGACTGTTTGGTCAAAACTCGAAAATGAAAGAAGATCATCTACAAACTTATCATCTACAAACTTAACATCTCGAGTATAATAGACAATAATACTAATTGCTGCAAACTCTGCAGCTCTTGATATAGGTAGATTTGAATTTTAGCTGTCTGTCCGTTTATGTTTTCGAATTGTGCATGTATTTTAAAGATTGTAAACTTATGTCATGTTAATGTAAAGTAATTGTCCAATATTGTAATAATGAAATATATATTATAAATAGTGTCCTGAATTAGTTGTAAATAAGCTAAATACATTGACACCGAAATAGAGTTATTATATTATTATTATTATTATTACGGGAACCACTGAGTATTTTGATAAAATACAAAACAATAGATACTCCGAAAATTGAAAGCATTTTTTAAAAAAAAATGCTTTAAATAATGCATAAAATAATAATAATAATAATAATAATGCATATTTTTTCAAAATGCTTTCAATTTTCGGAGTATCTATTGTTTTGTATATTATTATTATTATCATTATTATTATTATTATTATTATTGTTCTTCGAAAAGATTTAAAACTTTCTCCTAATCAATCAATCAACCAACTGTGGAAATCTACTAATACCCATGCATACTAATATCCAATACGACTTTTACAACTCAACCAAAGAAGTGCTTAAAGATTTTCGGTCTGAACATGAAGATAAACTCCAAAACCAATTAACTTGTCAGGGATCCTTTTTCTCTAATGTAACAAAGTTCTCCTTGTCGCATCTTAACAAAGTGTGGTCTACTGCTCAATCATAACTTCCGAAAAACATTTATAACTTTACCGTACGCTATATCAATAACTCTTTTCCGACACGTAAGAACCTTAGCAGATGGGGATTGTCTTCAAGTTCAGAATGCTCCTTTTGTCTCGGCCCAGAATCATTATTGCACGTGGTCGCTGGATGTCAGTGTTATCTCGATCGATTTACGTGGAGGCACAATTCAATCCTGAACTTCCTTGCCAATACCTTGCAAACTGTGAACGGTTCTGCCCTCTACGCTGTCGCTGACGTGCCTGGATTCAAAAGTCCGTCAATAATAACTGGTGATACGTATCTTCCGGATTTGTTGCTATCGTTATCAAATGGCTCTCTTTATGTGGTCGAGCTCACTGTTGGCTATGAGACAAACCTCGAGAGCAATGCTAAACGGAAAAAAGCCAAATATAAAGAACTAGTAAAACAACTAGATGAAAATTGTAACGAAGTAAAATTTATAAATCTTTCCATGAGCTCCCTAGGTATTTTTGCGCAAGAATGCTGTACATTCTTAGAAATGTTAGGAAATGTTGGTCTGGACAAAAACTACCGAACGTACTGTGTTAGGAAAATGATGACTATTGCCATTCGAAGTACATACTATATTTTCTACTGCCGAAATAAGGAATGGGAAAGTCCGGACTTGTTAACTATTTGAAATATCTGATTGTCTTGTATATTTATATATTTTCATGTATTCTGTCTTGTCATTTTTATTAGTTCATAGTTGTGATTCAAATAGCCAATTGTAAGTTACCTTAAATTAGTGAGATTTACAATTGTATATATATAGTAATGTAACAAAATTATTAAAGTTTCCATTATTATTATTATTATTATTATTATTATTATGTCGCTATAAGAAAATTTCATCTACAGTTTCACAAAAGTTCTTTAAATGGGTATGAGCAGGGTAACAGAAATATTGCCCATTGGGGTTAAACGTGAGGGAGGAAAGTAATTAGTTTAATCACAGTTAATAGTGGTTTAATTTATGTAAATTTCACGTAGGCCATCTCACGTGTCCCTGAAAGCCGTGGACGGTGCTTAGTAATGTAATTGGGATGGCTATAAAAGCCGTGGACGGTGCTTAGTAATGTAATTTGATCGTTTCTGAAGCCTGCTTACCAGGGGTGGAAAAAGTATCGGACCATTGGTCCCGGAAAAGTTTTGAGTTCTCAGAAAATATTTCTCCAAGAAAGAAAAAAAAGATAATTGTAATAATTTAGATAAAAGGAGAAATTCAGAGGAAGAGTTCTAACCAATAGAGAGAATGTTACCTGTATACTGTAGGTGTGACTTCAGAAATGCAATTGTAAATATATCCATCTTAATAGTGCGATAGTGTATGAATGTATAGACTATAAAATGATGTAACAAATGTTGTATGGCAAATGCATTTTTAGCCAATCTGGGACACCTGATTTTCAAAATTTTCTGATAGTGCCCCCATGCTAGTGCCCCTTTTTTGCATCTGTATTTATGTTGGGATCCAACCCTTGATGCATGTTATCTAAATTAGTTTTATGTTATATTCCTAAAAGTATTATTAAGATTCTCCAGTGCACTGAAATAATTTTTTTCTGTTAAAATGTTTTTTTCTGTGCAAACCCCAACAAGTATGAAACAAATTACTACCACCTGAGTCATGTTACTTTACCCAATAGTTCTTGTTTTGCCTCGTATTTTACGATTTCCCATCGTGTTTCACTTATTATTTTTAAGTCAAAACGAAAAAGATGTTTCACGACTCTGCCCATGAAACCAAACGACTTTTATAATCGATCAATCTTGCTCATTCCACCCCTGACAATCCGTCATATTTTTGCGATCAGTGGGAGGTCTACCCATTCACCCAAGAAATATAGCCGTGATCATTGCTAGATTTTGGACTTCGCTGCAGATAGCCGAGCGGAATGTACCTTCCCGGAGTATGTCACTTTGGCTATACATCCTCTTTTTAGTGAATGCAACATTAGTTAAAGCATAACGTGTCAATCACGAAACCGAGACTCTATGGCCATGATGAAGTACTGTCCGGAAGCGTGTATTAGATCCTCACTACTGGCTTACACTCTGTATGCGCCCTGCAACGTGGTTCGGATTTATAGTTTAAACGTGAAACGCCTCTGGCTCTGAATGAAGTTAAAAACCATTTGAAAGAAATTCAAATATTTCTAGGTATATGAAGGAACATTTCTCAGGGACAGACGGCATGGAAAAGGAATATATCATTGGCCAGATGGAACGCAATACGAAGGTCATTTTTACAATGATCTCAAAGAGGGATATGGGTGTTTCCACTTTCCTGATGGAAAACGATTCGAGGTATTATACTTTGACCAGATATTGATCAGTTCTAAGTGTTTCTTTGATTCTTTTAATAAGGTCATTATTTACGGCGGGGGGTGGCACGGAAGAAAAAAGAGTTGGGTAAACAAAATTTTGAGCGAGTAAAAGGTTGGGTAAATGAAAACCAAAACTCAAGGATTGGGTAATAAAAATTTATTGTCATTTCCAAAGCGTGCTTCAGATGTTTAAGGCCTAAATGGCAATGTCAACATGCAGTCATATGTCAATACAATATGTAAATCAATCAATCAATCAATCAATCAGAGACACTATCTTGATCATTTTACAACTTGTCAAGGGGCAAATGGTGTTTCCAAAGAAAGTACATGTGCAGACAACATTAAACTTGCACTGCAGAAAATTGCACAAGCAGTTATCCAATTTATGTCGCAGAAGTGGTAAAGGACTTGTGCGACAACTGAATGGTATCATTTTGTGAAGCTTTTGGCCATGGGTGGATATTTATTTTTTAATTGATATTTGAGGTTGGGTAAAAAATATTTGGTTGGATCATCAATTTTTTACCAAGGAAAACATTTCTTTCGGAGCCCATAAATAATGACTGGTCCCTATTTTCATTATTTCCTTTATATGGAACTATAGAGTTTATAGTAATAACTCAATACGTTTCTTTTCAATGTAGGGCATATACAAGAACAATGAACGAAACGGCGCCGGAATTTTGTCATACTGTGATGGTCGACAAGACGTAGGCATATGGAAAGGAGAGAAGCTTATCAGGTTGTGCACTGTTATGGAAAACACTTTTGTATTCCAACATTTTTCTGATTACTTCGTTAATGCTGGGGAAAACGTGCCATCAAAAGTAAGAAGAGCCAATTCCGCTCTAGCTGATTCGAGGAGTATTAATGAAGTTGAAGAAAGAAACCAAAGTCTTGAAAGCGTTGACGAAAAGAAAAATAATCAGCAAATACCAGAAACGTTCCCACTGGTTGATATCTTGGTTGGCGTACGGAATTCCTCTCATGGTCCAAAAGGTCCTTGTGAGTTGGCAAGTGAAGAATTTCTCCATATTTCTGGCAAAGGTGATTGTATGAGAGTGATGGAATTGGTGGAGGAAGGATTGGTCCACGTTGATGTGGCTGATAAAACTGGATTTACTGCTCTACTAGCTGCCTCTGTAAGCATATCCTATATACGTTCCGTTCTATGTTTAATAATACAGTACTGTATATGCATAAAAATTATTCTTATTGGGTGATATAGCGCAACAATTTTTCGAAAAGTTTCTGGTTTTAAAGAAAACTCTTTTCCACAATGCCGGACGGTTTTGTGCATCATGAATATCTCTTTATCCCAATACTTGATTTCCAGAAAGCGAACAGTTAGATAGTAATTGTCGTTTTGGTTGTGCTTTTTACATTCAACACATATATCCAATCAATTGCAACCTGTTACGGTGTTTGTGTAAAAATGTCATTATTTTAGCATCTCTTTGCTAATAGAAATGCATGAAAAGGTGCAATTGTAACCATCCTTATTTTAAATGTGTATAATATTTCTCAGATATTCATGTTTGTTTTTCTTCAACCTGCATTAAAGGTTAATTGCCACAAGGATATCATCAACTGTCTCTTAGATTATGGCGCGGATGTGAATAAACTAAACTACGAAGGGCTGTCTCCTCTAGCTGCTTGTCACGTGCTGTTTTATACGAAACACACGTGGAACGAGAACATAGGTGAAATTCTAGCCAACGAAAACTTATTTAACAGTGTTTACTGGGATACACAAAGTGGAACATTTGTACAGAGAAAACCTGTTTACTATCAAAACAAAACTCGCTCTAAAATTAATGCAACTGAAAGTACTTCTCAATCAAGTATTAATAGTGTTAATGGGTCAAATCGGGACAACTTGACTTGCGGTATACCTAAAAAATCAGGTGAAAACTCAACGGACAATAATACCAGTGTTGGTGTACGTGATCCTGTAGCTTTTGAGACTGAAGAAAATGTTAAGAATCCCACTAAAACTGACAGTAAGGTCGTATCTCGAAAAGTAGGAGATCATCCCAAAGGTTCTAAAGATGAGAACAAGACGAATGGCTTTGATGCTTCTAACACTGGTCGCAATGATCATATTCCTTACGAATCACAAGCTTTACATCTAAAATGTTGTGGGATGGAAGGAAATCCGGACAAAATTGATAAAAATGGAAATAAAATTCATAATGTGGAAACAAGGAAAAGCATAACCAAAGAAGATATTCCAAATAACCAACAAGATGTAACAACAAATTGTCACAACAACCATTATCCGGAAAATCTGTCTACTGATCCCAAGGTTGAACATAAGGAAGCCGCTTCATTGGAAATAGGACACGCACATCCTGAAGTTGAAGTATCTGATCCAGGCTCTAATATTAAAGAGTCTATTGTTGAACGCTCTGAAATGGTTGACAAGAATACTTTTATTCACGTTTTTCTCAACCGGGCAGCTTCAGCCAGATCAAAGCAAAATTCGTCTATTTCCTTCGAAAATATCAATTCTAGCTACGAGGAATCTTATTCCGACAACAGGGATGAAGTTCATTATTACCGAGATGAAAACTCACGGAATTTAACTGGAGATCAAAGTAAAGATTGTGATGAGAAAGAGGATAACCATCTAGTTGTAACAGTTACTGCACCTGATATTCGAGAATCTGTTCAGTATAGCATACAAAATGCGATAAGCAGTTCCTTGCAAACTACGAATACTGTGGAAGATGCCGATAGTCTGAAAAGTGTCGAACAAAACCGGCAAAAACTTCTTACTCAACAAAGGTATACGTTAATACTTTGATAATTTAATAGTGGAATTTATAGAATATTCAAAATTTGCATGTGCCTAAGACCTAATCTTGGTTGATTTCAGTGCAGTTAATCTCAAACAGCAATCATAGTGTAATTTTCTGCAATCGCAATGCAATTTTCTGTAATCACTATGTCTATGAACCAATCAAAATTGAGCTAAGTTTTGACGGAAAAAAAACCTTTAAAATATTCTCTTTTTTTTAAACAAACATGGCCGCATTTAGATAATGTTTTGTTTTATATACTGTTACGGTTATTAATTTAAATGTTTGTTTGCCTTTTCGTTTGATTGCTTTAAAGATTACACGGATACGAACAAGCAAGTGTTTTGTACCAACTGCTTTGGCAGTTGTGTTGTCTAGTTTATGCATTTTGACGTGATAGCTAATATATTTGTTCTTTGTTTATTAAAGATCAAGTTCAAATTTGATTGGTCTCGAATACCTTTATGTACATTATTAATAAGTAATAGCATGGTTTCTCGTGAAATTTGGATAAACATGCACTCGTGAGTTTTTCAAAGACCTCAAATAGCACTCGTCCTTCGGACTCGTGGTATTTTGAGGTCTTTGAAAAACTCACTCGTGCATATTATATCCAAATAAAAAAAACAACATGCTATTATAAAAAAAAACGTGAAAAAAAAGGTAATGTTTTTTCACATGCATGCAAGATGATATTCATTGTGACATCAGATTGAATAATTAATGCATGCCTGTTAATTAAAAAAACTTTTATAATTTTTCAATATAAATTAATTCAAATTTGTTTAAATATAACATGATGTTTGTGACATTTTGATACTGACACACATTCTCACTGGCTTCATAAAAAATGTGAGGTATATCACAAACATATTGTGTTTTATTTCTAGACGTCCACATTTAGAAGCAACTGTACGACTGCTTTTAAGACGAGGTGCCAATCCAAATGCATCTTCGTTACCCATGCCCGTGCTGTTTTTTGCCATCAAGGCTGCTGATGCTCCTGCTGTTAAACTACTGTTGGAGAAGGGCGCTGATACAAATGCAAGACTTTCAAAAGAGGTACGAGTGCATGACACCTCAATAATTGTGACTTTGTGAGTCTTTTATGAACTGGCGATAAATAATATTTTGCCGTTGTCTGTTCAAATATGGATACACAGTATGACGTCATAATGTGATAAGAACAAAGTGTTCTTACTACATTGTGATGTCATACTGTGTCTCTATACTGTATAGACAACAGCAGAATGTTATCTATTTGTTTCATGTAATAAGAAAACTAATTAAACAGGTAAATAGTTCATTTTATCTCCCCCCCCCCCCCCCCAAAAAAAAAAACATTTGGAAAATTGAAAAAGTCGAAATCTTACAAATATCGCGCGTACATGAGTCATGGTCTATATACAAACTACCTGGTATAATACAAATTACTTAAACGTTTTTCGTATCTGTTTTGTATAATATTATAATAATCTATGTTTATTGGTCGAGAGGCATGATTATACTAGATGACAGACAGAGCTATCTATGATCTATGAGAAAGCCCATCACATCTCACTCACAAATATCAGGAACATATTTTTATAGATCATGGATCACGTCTTGGTTGTTCGTGGGCCATTTTTTTCGTATCTGTTTTGTATAATATTATAATAATATATGTTTATTGGTCGAGAGGCATGATTATACTAGAGGACAGACAGCTATCTATGATCTATGAGAAAGCCAATCACATCTCACTCACCAATATCAGGAATATATTTCTATAGATCATGGATCACGTCTTGGTTGTTCGTGGATCACGTCTTGGTTGTTCATTTTTTTGTTTTTACTGAACAGACTGTTAAACAGTAAATTGTTATCTATTTGACAGTATTTGTCCATATATAGGATGGTTTTCCAATGCGGCCGCATCTTATATATACAACACGGCCGCACACGCTGTATATGTACTATTTATCATATTTAAAATGCGAGTGTTTTATCATATTTAAATTGCGAGTGCGCAGCACGAGCATTTTAGATATGATAAAACACGACTACAAGTGTTTTGAATAGCTTCAAATACGACTTCAAGAAATGCCGTCTCATTGGTATTCTTTATACTAATTAGGATGGACTTTTATATAAAGAATACTAATGAAGATGAGTTTGATCAAGTATAAAGCCTCTTCACGTGGCATATTATGGTTGACGTGATTTGCCAATAAGCTTATGAATTATTAATAAGTGTTTGAAATACTACACAAAACTTCGACACATTGTCAAAACCATTGATATATTACTGACACGTTTCCGCTGTATACACTTTCCACTGTTTCAATCATGCCATAACTGCTGTACATATACTGTAATATATTACTGTTTATACTGTATGTTATGTTTTACAGAAACTGGGTATTACTCCTCTACATATTGCTGTTGCATTGCCGTCTGATGCAATTTCTATTTCTAAACTGTTGCTCGAAGCTGGGGCTGATCCAAATTTGAGAGATTTTGCTTTTGGGGATGTAGAAGATGGCCGTACGTCCTTACATACAGCATGTTGTAGGGAAGATAATGATGAAGTAAGTTAATATTTTCATTAAACTAGTGAACAAATAGATGATTTTCTAAATCCTTCCTGGCCGACTCCCACTAACTTAAACTGCCGCAGTAACTATACTGTATATAAACTGGAAAACTGGGCTGATTGAAGAAGTCTATACGATAAGGGAGTTATATAAGAACTTCCGAGTTCCGACTACTACAGACTCTCCTGAAACAATGATATAAAGCTAGCAAGTATCCATCAAACAGGACCTGCGTGCGTTTTATACAAACGGCGGGAATTGAATCTTGCAACCTAATAAAACCGTTTACAAAACTACATGCAAGCGGACGGACAAACACAGACTCTTAGCAAGGACTGCCGATTGATCTGAGGCGATACCTTGCACATGCGCAGCTACGGAAACCAAACGAAAAAATTATTATAGTTTCTCGCTGGCTGAAGTATGAAAGAAGCGAGAAGCGGGTTCTCACACTGGGGGGCCCCGGGCGAGGTACGATGCCCTTATATGGGCATGCGCCTCGAGATAGAGCATGTTTTGTCTTTTGCCGCAAGTGTGGTAGTTTGTGCCTTAAAACGCTCTTAAAAAAACCTGAAATATTTTATCGTGAAGATGTCCAAGTTCTTCTGTGCTCCGACGCTTGGAAAGCCACAATAAGAGTCCTCATGATGGGGATTTCGAAGGAGAACTTAATAACAGCAGACGAGAATCGCGGGAAAGCGAGAGACGTAAGGAACGACATCGTTCGCAAAGCCATTCTTCTCGTCAAAGTCGTTCCCGCCAACGTTCGCGAAGCAACGATCGAGAGGAAACGATACCCGGTTGGGCCCAGCAGCTATTAAACGGACAGGGAGAGTCTGATCAGCGACTTAAGACGCTGGAAAAACAGCTCAACGATACGAACGCCAAGCAATCGTATGCACGCAAGCGGGAACACTCGCCCACACCAGAATTTAAATACAAGCGCAACAAAGTTCAGTACGAGCTGAATAAAAGAATTTTGGGCAAGATCGAAACAGCTTTAGACGCGTCTGACGACGAAGAACGTAGTGGAGCCCTTGACGAAGGTAGGAAAATGTTGATAGAACGCAATAAACATATTAAACTAGCCGAAAAATACGGATGGGAGGCTGTTGATTGTTATATCGATGAACCGCTCGCGAGCGACTCAGATGACGACAAAAAGATAAGGCGTGCGATTAAGGAGAGTAAAGTTCTAAAAGAAGAAAAACGTACAGCTGCGACAGCATCTAGATTGCCAGTCAATAACTCCCAATCCAAAGTAGGCACTCAACCGCAGAGAATTCCCAACGAGAGCAATTTTCGCCAAGTCATCAAAAGGTCCCCTGGCTCGCTGCCAGCTCAGGACACCACGTGTTTTCGTTGCGGACGAAAAGGCCATTATGCCCGTTACTGCAGATCTCTCGTCGCCCTTAACGACTCCCCTCGCCCTACGAATAACTAGTAAAGATTGCGCCGAACAGACAGCGACCGAGCTCGAAACGGTTAATGATTTAGACTAAATGTGAACATGCTATTAGACAATGTGCATGAAGCGCCTGACCAATGTGTCAAGGCCAAGGGACGTTTAAAAGAAAAGGTTGAATTTTGGAAGCACATTGGCGCTTCACGTTGGGTTTTAACAGTTATTCGCGACGGATACGCGTTACCTTTTGTTGATCTACCTCAAAGACACATGTCCAAGAATCACATGTCGGCATACGAAATGCTAAATTCGTTGATTCGGAAATTGAGAAATTATTAAGTTCAGGTTGTGTCAAGCAAGTGACCAAGTGCATGTAATTTCGCTCTCAGCGTGGCGTCAAAAATGGGAAAGACAGACTTATTTTAGATTTACGTTATATCAACAGTTGTTTAAGAGTTTTAAAGTTTAAATACGAGGATCTGAGGACTTCAAAGACATATTTCGACCTGGGGACTATATATTCAAGTTTGATTATAAGTCAGGGTATCACCATATTGATATTTTGCCGGAACATTGGCAGTACCTGGGTTTCTCCTGGGGAACAGAAAATTCTAAACGGTTTTTCGTTTTTACTGTTCTGCCATTTGGACTAGCCACAGCACCATATGTGTTCACACAAGTGCAAAAGGCTTTACTGAAGTTTGGCGATTACAAGGGATTCGCATATTTACATATTTGGACGACGGGATTGGGGGACATTCATCAGCCCAGCAAGCAGCAGCCGTGTCGGAAAAAAGTAAAAAGTGACATAAAACTAAGTTGGTTTCTTTGGCATCCAGATAAAAGTGTCTGGGAACCAACACAGTGCGAAGAAGTGCTGGGATTTTTTGTTAACCGTGTGGATGGTTATTTTAGAGTGCCTGAGCGACGGATTGTTAAACTAAATAATCAGTTGCACACTATACAAGTCAATAACTATAAAACAACAGCTTATGGCATAGCCAAGCTCACTGGTACAATTATATCAATGGGTTTAGCACTAGGGCCCATAGCTCAGGTATGGACACGGGGGCTCTATCGTAACCTTAGAGGCGCTCGATGCCTTTACAATAAACTGGAGTGGGGACAATTACTGGATTTTTCCACCACCATACTTGATCCCAAAAGTAATTCCCACATGTGTGCTAACAAAGAAGAGGGTACTTTGATAGTGCCTCTATGGTCTTCTGCATACTGGTGGCCCCTTCTTACTATAGACGGCAGGCGTCCTATGCTTTGGATTTATACCGAGTGGTTGGATATTCCACTGACGAAGACACCTTCATTCCAGCAGTTAGCCACGCATGCCTCTTTGGGTCTGGCACCCCATCATATCGAGTTCTCGCACTTAAAGTTTGTTTTAATAATAATTTACAAAACATAGTGAAGCTATTCATCTAGATGGATTCTGGAAGAAGTAACAGCTTGTGGCTAAATTACATACTGTATGTATGTGCCTGTGAGAGGCGTTTATTTGTGAGAATAATTATTGGCAAACTGTATTGCTTACCTAGGGTACTATGCTTGTGAGAAACTCAACAGCCTGTGAGAGGCACAACTGCCTGTTAGAGGCATGACTACTGTGAGATTATATATGTGCCTGTGAGAGGCGTTTATTTGTGAGAATAATTATTGGCAAACTGTATTTGCTTACCTAGGGTACCATGCTTGTGAGAAGCTCAACAGCCTGTGAGAGGCACAACTGCCTGTTAGAGGCATGACTACCTGTGAGAGGAACAACAGCTTAGGCAATGCAGCACTGCCTGTGAGAGGCTCATAGTGTACCTACAGTACCTGTGAGAGGGCATACACATAGTAAACCTGGAATTGACTTGCATAGCCATATTAATGATATTGTGTCTTGATTCATAGAGGTTACAACACGAACGGCACCTGCCAGAGGTTTCCACCATGACCCTGAATTGAATGCACTTGCTAGAGATATACCGAAGATCATAATGCAAGATCGGGCACCGCAGACAGTCAAGAAATACTTAAATACTTTCCAGCAGTGGAAGAAGTGGGCAAAGAGAAAAGGTCTCCATGCCCTCCCTGCATCAGGGTATGAATTTGCTTTGTATATTGCTTACCTGCTCAGAAAGGCCAAGTCAGTGTCAACAATTCATGCAGCAGTTTACGGGGTAGCATGGGCACATAAGAAAGTAGCTGCAGTATCACCGACAGAGCACCCTTTAGTTAAACAAATGGTTGAGGCAGCAAAAAGAATAATCGGTATTGCCCCAAAAACAGAAAGCAACCACTAGGCATAGATCATATAAAGAAACTTGTTCGTAAATTTGGTGGTGGTGGAGACCTGAGTAAGCTGCAGATTACATGTTTAATAACATTGGGTTATAGTGGTTTTTTGCGATGGGATGATTTGGCAAAGCTCAAAAAACAGGATGTGTTATTTTACGAAGATCATATGCGGATTTTTCTTCAAAAGAGAAAAAATGATCAATATCGTGAGGGTTCATGGATTTTTATAGCCAGCACAGGCAATTGCACATGTCCAGTAAAGTTGATGAAAGAGTTTTTTCGACAGGGCAAACGTCAGCCGAGTGATTTTGTGTTCAGGAAGGTGTCGCATACAGTTAACGGTATGTCACTTAGATCCCAAGCAATGACGTATTCGCGGGCAAAGGAATTGTTCTCGAAGCACCTAAAGGGGCTCGGGTTGGATCCATCTAAATATGGTTTACATAGTCTTCGCTCGGGTGGTACCACAGAGGCAGCAGCTTGGGGAGTCCCAGATCGGCTGATTCAAAGGCATGGCGGTTGGCGCTCTGAAGTGTCCAAGAACATGTACATTCAGGAAACGAAAAATGCACTTTTACGTGTATCAAAAAGCTTAGGACTGTAAACAGTGTAGGATAAGGAACTGTTAAAATCATAAATACATGCTACTCTATATGTTGTCATTGCGGTGGCAGACTACACGGCAACCCAGTGTGAGAATTATAGTTTCTCGCTGGCTGAAGTATGAAAGAAGCGAGAAACGGGTTCTCACACTGGGGGGCCCCGGGCGAGGTACGATGCCCTTATATGGGCATGCGCCTCGAGATAGAGCATGTTTTGTCTTTTGCCGCAAGTGTGGTAGTTCCCGCCCGCCCACCCTTGTGGTTCGAGACATTGTTTAGGGTTATTAATATTGGGTCTATATGTTAATTTTGTGTATGAAAACAATTGTTAATAAATAAAGGCACTGCTACTTTTGCGGTGGCAGACTACACGGCAACCCAGTGTGAGAAGTAGTATTACGTTAGCATTTCACGATGAATTATAGCTTACTTTTAGTTCAATCAGCAGTATAAATTTATTAACAGGATGTTATAAAACGACCTGCCTGTACCGCGTGTCTGTGAAATCTTAAAGATTATTGGAAATCTCAATTGCTGTGAACAGCTTAGGATGTGTTTTGTGACTGCATAAATTAAATGCGCTCCAGCGGTTTGGTCGATAATGAAGTAAAATACAGAAATATTTTACTTTCTTTCTGTTTTACTTATTTTGTTGGTTGGTTGTCGAGTATAAGATGTCTACCTATACTGGAAGATAGTATAATATTTAATGTATACCGTGTATACTTACTTATTCTTTGTTCATGTACAAGCCATGAACAGTACACTTTTAATGTATTATCATTAAACCTACTTGTTTCCGTATTTAGGATGCAAATCTTGTGATAAGATTACTGCTGGATTATAAAGCTGACCCTAATTTACTTTGCATTGGCCACTCAGCATTGTCGCTGGTCATTGGAAGTGGAAATGATTTGGTAAACTGTTTTTTTTTATAGCTGTATTTTATTTTTGGAGTATTTTCGACATCGTGTGCTAGGAACGTTTCTTTGGCCATTAGTACTGTCACTACTGTGTCGATGTTTATTACATGTACATGTCCGTTTGCCCGGCAGGGTTATCATAACTAAAGACATGGATAAACACGATTCTCCTCAGTGTAGTAACATCACTGAGCAAGACACAATATAGACTGGAAATTCTGGAATAGTACAACCGCTGCCTCGTGCATCACGCGCGCGCAGGCCTGGGTACAAGGCAGTACTACCTGCATGTTTTAATTGCATGCGTGTGGTGGACACGGAGTTAATGGCATGGAGCAGGAGGGGCAACCGCTCCCCCCCCCCCAATAGTTTCTGCAAGACTTGCTTGATAGCCGAATAACTGTGTAACAAACCTGTAAAACTAATTTTTCAACCATGAAAACATTAATAGGCTAAAAGTTAAGCTATAGGCAAAAACAAAACTACGATTCTCAGCTACAAAGGGTGGTCATATGTTGACAACCTAATTGGCCCCTCCTCCTACCCCCCACTATTTCACACTCGTAAAGCTACTTCGAAACGCTATGTTAAAATTACACGTGCTATTTTGAGACACATTGGTAGTGTCCTGTTTGCGTTTTGTTATGGTTTTAATGTTTACTACTCAGCAAAAATATTTGCTTTTGTGTTCAGGCTGTTGAAACTTTGCTCAAGGGAAACGCAGATCCTAGTTTGTCCTTAACCCATGGTGTGGGATCACCATTGTGTGCAGCTGTCTCATTCACCGCTGAAAAACGACGAAAAATTGTTGATCACGTACGCCTGGTAGGTATAGTAGTACTTTACGAATACATCTAATCGCAAAATTAGGTGTTATACAAGATAACATCTCGAACGGTTTGTTCCAGTGTAGGTAAGGACGACAGAGGTGTATATTCTTCTATAATTTCCCCCCCCCCCCTGGGGTGGGGGAAAAGAATCAAAGGGTCTTAGGGCTAGGGAAGAAAATCAAAGAAGAGTAGAAAAAAATGGAAAGGCAGAGAGAAAGGAAGAGAACAATTTCCGTGGGTAATTCGTGAAAATCAGTGTTTCCACTTTCCAAAATGATTTTTTCTAATTTTTTCCTAAAAAATGGAAAGTAATGAAAGTATGGAAAGTAACTTAAAGTAAGAAAGTAAGAAAGTATGGAAAGTAACTTAAATAAATATGAAAAGCTTTACTGAGGATTGCAAATTTAGTAAATAATAACTTATAACTAGCTAATTTATAATTTAGGTATTTTATTCTATCTTGAGGAGGGGACAAATATACTATGTCACAGTATTACTATTAGGTACAGGCCTTTGAGGCTGATGTAGTAAAGATATGGGGAAAAGAATCAAATCTGAAAAGAAGGGGGGGGGGGAAGAATCAAAGTTTATTGAAGAATATACACCCCTGAAGGACGATAACACCAGAAAGCTGCAGATTGAGAGAGATGCAACCACCTGAAAAACTTAAGCAGAATTTTTCTGTTTCTTGAAACGACGTTTCAGGGCCCTTCGTCGGGAAGTTAACTACTGACTACCAACTCCCTGATGAAGGGCCTTAAAGTGCCTATGACACGTTAACTATGATAAACTCTGATGAAGCCTTAGTGCCTTCAGAATTTCCAAACGTTTATGGTTGCATTGTAAAGATCACTTACTGCTATTTGCAAGCTCAACGTTTGGCGGTGTGTTCAATGAAACTTTGCTAAGATGTGGCAAACGTTGATTGGCTTGCTCAAAACGTTAACGTTTTCCGGTCAAAACCTGAACGTTTGAAACGCAAACAAACATGAAAAAAAATCGTACGCCTAATGGTAGCTTGCAAACAGCAGTAAAATGACTTAATAGTTTCTTTTATAGAATTTTGGTAACTTGCTCCCTTGTCAAGATATTAAACTTTGTTTCATATGCAAATATCACCGGTGTGTGACATCACATCACATAATGATTTGCAGAAAAGTATACTGTTTTCTTGACGAATACGTATCTAAAAAACTTAAAAATTGCCATTGTATATGTATTAATTGCATAACTGGTAATTAACCCTCTGTATTTGTTTGTAAAAATATTTTATCAAGGTAAAATATTGCGTTTTCAAAATGTCATGCGATGTGATGTCACATGCACTGGTGATATTTGCATATGAAACAAAGTTGAATATCTTGCAAAGGAATCAAGTTACCAAAATTCTATAAAAGAAATTATTAAGTCATTTTAAGTGATCTTTACAATGCAATTATAAACATTTGGGGTGAAATTTCGTGTCATAGGCACTTTGAGTTTTGTCCGCAGCTGTCTTGCACTAACCGTTTTAGTAACACTTAGTCAAACCGTTTTCACGAAGATACGTTCTGTCATATAGGTCACTGATTTTACTAGGAAACTCCTTGAACGTGCTTGACAAGAATTTCATATTCACAGAAGGATGGGAACACTTCGTTACTGTACATTCTAATTATCTTCTTAATATGTAGGTGAACAAATTGATAAGAAGTGGTGCTAATATACTTGCGCCAATTATTGTCAGCCACAAACATCCTCCCGGGACTGTGGTGGACTACGCGTACAACGTCTTCTATCAGGTAGGATTAACACTGTTTTAATCGATCGGATTTTTTAGTACTGTTATTGCTGCTTTTAAATATAAGACTATCAGAGCAACGATGCAGGGTTTTAAAGCACTAACTAAGCCGTCACTGCATCGTAACGGTTAAATTATTAATAGTATTATGGTGGGTACATGTGTTCACATGCATGCAGGTGCAACGAATTATTTTATCTCGTGAGCTTGAAAACAAAACTGAGCTTGAAGTCCCCCTCTCGTGAGCTGTGCTATTTAGGAAAATGCCTTTAAACATAATAAATGTCCTGGTAATCGTATGTCAATTGTGCAATTATAATATTTTTCTTATATTTTTCACATGTACTGTTTCATTAGTCTTTAGTTCGTCTTTTTTTTAAATTATATACGTGCGATTTTTTGTATAGGATCGAAGAATAGCCCATACCCCTTACCATTCATTGACACCTTATGAGAGAGAAATATATATTGCTCGGCGGAAAATGCTTGATCATCTGGCAGAATTACTGCGGACACACGTTCTTAAGAAAGAAAAGAAACTGCTCGAGGAGCAGTTATCTCGCGCCAAAGGTATGATCATAGGGGGTGTTTGTACGACAAAATCAGACTTACTGAACATTATAATTTAATCTGAAGTCCATGCAAAACTCATGCATGATTGCCTGTTTTTGATAACATACACAACAAATGTAATAAAGTTCTTTTATAAAACTGAAAAAGCAATAATCGTCAATTACCTTTTTAGTGCAAACATTGTGGTCATAAATACATTGATACTATAGACATTATACATGCATACAGTCATGTTGACTTCATGGGGGGCACGTCATGAGCCCCAACGCCCCGGGGAGGGTGGGACCCAGACCGCTCCATCTTCCCTAGATTTTGTGAATCTCCCTCCACATTTAGACCGAAATCTGGCTTTGTATTATACGTAAAGGTGTGAGGAGGGGGTGGGGCGGTCTTCCCTTCCTCACCCAACCATCCTTCCGCACTGTTAACATGTACTATTGACATGGCGAATAGATATATAGATATGTTACTTTTCTACTTTTAGAATTGCAAGAGGAATCTTGTGAGGAAATTCATGAAGAAAACCTTGACCGAGCAGTGAGTTTTTACTTTGATGAAACACAAAGTGTTTCAGAGCTTGGTTCTTCGTTTGAAAAGGTATTTAATATTTCTTTATATACGACGTATTATATCAAAGTATGATATGTTATGTCAAACGAAAGTCCAAATCAATTTAGAGCATGCAGTTGTTATATAAATCTAAATATTGGTTATCGTTCAGTATTAAAATTTATCGTTCACTATTAAACGTTTTTGTTTCATGATTATATAACACATGGTTAGCCAAAGTATTAAACTAAAATAATGATTCAAGAATACGAAATTACAATATAACCACCACTATATATTCTATTCCCAAGAATACGCAATACAATATATAACCACCACTTTGTATTCTATTCTAGGCGTCTATTTACGACGAAAGCCATGAAACCATGTCATGTTTTTCATTAAGCGACAGTCGTTTTCCAGATTGTGGTCTACGTGTTGCTGTCGTTCAAACACCATCTGATCACATGAACGTATCTCGACTATCTGTGAACTCTACGAAGAAGCGTCAGCTCATTCGAAAGAATCGCTTTCGTTATTGCTACGAGTGTGGTCGATCTGTTGCAGTCCGCCTGGCTGCGTGCACGAGATGTAAGGAAGTTTTCTATTGTAGTAGAAGCTGTAAGTTAAAGGCTTGGAATTCTCGACATAGAGAAGAATGCATAAGATTATCAGGTGAGAATATTTTAGAATAGATCTATAATAAGTATTCTTATATCGCCTCATACATAAGAATTAAACACGGGAATTAATGTCTATTTACAACATTCGGCTTCGGCTCGAGTTAATGTACCAAGCAGGAGTGTTTTATCAGATATAAAGATACGAGGCGAAGCCGAGTGTCTTTAGGTCTTGTAAAACACGCACTGCGAATGTTTTAAATTGCTTCAAAAACGATCGATCTAGTAAGGTCATTGGTGAAGTAATTTTCAAAAAACACGTTGTGGAAGTTGTCAAAGTTAAAGTTCGTCAAAGTAAAAGGGAAATCTCTATCACATATAAAGATGCGACACATTTTTTTGTGTTTTCCTTATGAATTATTAATGAGTTTTTGAAATATCCGATGCAACATGGCCGCGAATGTTGTAAAACGTGAAACGTCTTCATGTGAAACGTCTCCATGAGAACATTCGTATTCTTCAAGAATTAAAAAAAAACAATTATGAATTATTTGAGTGAGAAAATTGAACTCAAAGTTTTTGTAAATCAGCATTCACGGTCATGGTTTCTTTTGTGTTTTCATGTACAGTACTTTTTGTTATTAAAATTTCATTTATACTCTTTATTCTAGTGTCTTACTGTCTTCATGGTGCATGTCGAGTCATAACTTTGCCTTTAAATAGAAGCATATGCATGCATAGAAACCCTGCCCTTTTATATAAAAGTTTTTTGCGATCATGAATTCCCGCTACTATATATAGCTAAAGTAAAATCATATAAACCAATTAAAATCAATTTTTTAGAAATTTTGAACAAGATAAATTCCTTTTTAATTTCAGCAAGGAATAAAAGCTCTCTTTCTAGAAGAACAGACAGTCCAACCTCCGTTGCCAATACAGAAAAAGACAGTTCGTTAATGAGTAATTCAAAAGACAGTATTATTAAACGACGAAATTCTCGAAATTGCTCCAAAAGCTCAAAGAAGCATCCAACAAAGACGTTATCAGATGTTTACACAAATGATACGAGGATTGTACGTTGAGATCAGAGGCATTGCAAAACATACTAATGATCATGCATACCGGATATAACTTAAAGTAGGTCGATATTCTTATACTCAAGGGAAATTGCCTTCTATCATAAAATGATTTTGTGCATGGTAAATGTATATATTAAGAATATTTATAGTTGAATTATTTAGCTCTACGTTCGCTGTGTATAGAATTAAGACCTGAAAGTACAGGCGTAAACGTCTTAACAATTCGTTTGTTTAGTAATTATTTTGTAGTATTCAAATTTTTACTAAAATCTATGTTGGAATTTGTATACAACACTACTGTGGATTAGTTTTTAGGCGAGTTGTCCATTCCAACTGTACCGTGCTGAACGTGCTGTATTTCTTTACCGTGAATGATGACCTTGATGCAAATGAAAAAAATGCAATCCCATGCACGAAACTTCAACACAAAGGCATGCAGATGGAGGTAAAATAGTAAGTGCCTTTGGAGCCTGAACTGTATACAGCTATTTCAATTAAGGTTGTCCCCCGAGCAAAGCGGAAAAGTCGAATACGAGCGCGAAAGGCTGCTGGGAATCGCTAATAAATGAATGGATTTATTAGCGATTCCCAGCAGCCTTTCGCGTTCGTATTCGACTTTTCCGCTTTGCTCGGGGGACAACCTTAATTGAAATAGCTGTATGCTGCAGTTGGATTGGAATGCCCTATGATATCATTATCTTTCAAGAATACTATAAGAAAGGTCTAATACAAAAAACTGATTTTGTGACAGAAATTTCAATTTCTCCGGAATTCGACCTATATATATATATACCTAAACTGCGTTACGATATACCATGTTTCATAAAGTTTGTAGTTTTAGGCTCGCCCAAAAACCCTGGGGCGGTTGTATAAAACTCGTAATTACTTTTTTAACTATATCCTTTTTGTAGTTAAATTGTAGTTAACATTAAAAACTCACAATTGTGATTGGTTAACTTTTCCACTAACTATATAATTATTATTATTATTATTATAAATTCCCAAACTAGCAGTAACAACTGAATTACTTTGGAATTACAGGGTATAAGACCATAGGTATTCAATCTATTCTATATTTACAGGTAAAAATAGGTAAGTTAGATAAAAATAACGATAATAATCTAAAGTTTACTTATTATTATAAGCACGAGACGCAGCAGGAATGAAACTGTTCGAAAAACGTTCAGTTCTACGCCTAGGTACTAATAAGTTGGGATAAGACCTCAGATTATAAGTTTGAAGACTTTTAGGCGGTACTAAGGCATTCAGTTTATGAGTGGGTTCCAACATCTTCGAAAAAAGTCGCTTGCAAAGAACAGTTCTACGTTCGTAAAGAGTCATTAAGTTAGCTTTAAGCAAACATTCAGCATAGATAGTTCCAGGGAAAATAATTTTTAATGCCCTTTTTTGTATTTTTTCAACTTGATCACTCAGGTAATGAGGAAGGCCATAATGCCACACCTGACAAGCATATTCGACAATTGGTCGAATATGTGTACAATAGATCAGAATATGAGAAGGTAAAGCATTTCTTTTAAGAAGGCGCAGACCGTACAAACGCTTCGCGGCTTTCTTGCAAATGTAGTCAATATGGCAGTTCCATTTGAGGTCGTCCGAAAGGACAACGCCCAATAATTTGGCCTCGGAAACGACGTCGACCTCTTGACCGCGAATGGTAATAGGGGCAAACGATGGAGTAAGCTTAGAAAAGCAGACACGCAATTCTTTGGTCTTTGATACGTTTAACTTCATATTATTGTCTGATGACCATTCAGAGCAGCTGATGATGTTAGCGGGTAACTGGGAAGGGGAATTGTTTGATATTATTTCCCAAAGGCTAGTATCATCGACAAATTTAACAGTATCATCCGCTACAGCCAAGTCATTTATCATGATCAAAAATAATAGCGGGCCAAGCTTCGTTCCTTGTGGGACGCCGGCGTTTAAAAACGTCCACTCAGAAAAGAACTGACCAACACGGGTTCTTTGTTGTCTGCCTGTTAGGAAGTTTGCGATCCAGTTGAGTAACACGGGATGAATTTCCATGACTTTCAATTTTTCCAACAGAATGTTATGATCTAATCTATCAAACACCTTGGAAAAATCAAGTAAACAAATCCGTATAGTGTTACCTTGTTTGTCAGCTGCTTCAAACCATTTATGTAGCATGTAGATTAATGCCATACTAGTGCTTGAACCCTTCAGCGAACCAAATTGCAAGGAATCAATTTTTTTGAGACGGAGTCAAGTAGCCATTTGTAGGGAAAGGATTCAAGAATCTTGCTGATAATTGGTGTGAGGGAGATTGGTCTGAAGTCAGAATCAACATCTTTAGGAGGCGAAGATTTTTGAACTGGTGTAATATATGCTGCCTTCCATATTGAGGGAACAAATCCTTCACGAACTGATGAATTAAAAATAGAACACAAAGGTCGACACAACACTGAAGCGTTTCCCGGAGAAGCCAAGAAGGAATTTCATCGGGACCAGCAGATGAATGAAGTTTAGATGATAATGGGGCCTTTTCAGTCTCCTCGACAGAGATGCAGAAATCATCTGGAATGTCGTTTGTGGGAAGGGGGAGCCAGTTTAGATTGGGTAAGGAGGACCCTACAGCAACGAACTTGTCGTTGAGCAAATTTGCTAAATCGGCATCAGAGTAGGATTTACCTTGGAACATCATTGTAGATACATTCTTAGAAGACTGAAGACCGGCAATATTCTTCACCGCTGACCACCATTTATGAGAATCGGACTGTTGAACGCCCGCGATACTTTTATTGTAGTAATTTAGTCGTGCCTTCTTGCAAAGTGCATTGACTTTGTTTCGATAGAATCTGAACATCAGGTTATTGCCAGCCGCCCATGCTGTCTGCCGCTTGGAAATGAGAGATTTTATTTCGGAAGTAATCCAGGGCTTGTCACTAGAATCAATTTTGATTTGTTTCCAAGGCAAATGTTCGTTTATGATATTATCAACGATGGTGGAAAAATACTGGAACTGCTCGTCACAAGATTCCATATGGTGCAAAGGTAACCAATTAACTTTCGACAAATGATCGCTAACAATTCGACGATTGGTTGGGCGAGAGTCTCGTACTAAACGTGTAGACCTTGTGCCACCATAAGAGTTAGCTGGAAGAGGTTTAGGAAAGATGGAATTATGATCGGAATGTCCAATTGGAGAAATTACCAGGGCCGAATTATAAAATTTAGAAATGTTGGTAAATATTTTATCTAAAATATTCTTTCCTCTAGTAGCGTCTTTGACTAACTGCTTGAGGTTAAAGGAACTGCATAACTGGCGATGTTTAAATTGGTTAAAATCTCCGGCCAAAATAATTCCTGCACCGGGATTGGTGGAAAGGACAGAATCAATTGATTCGGTAAGGTGTGAAAGAAGGGCTTTATCGTCACTTCCAGATGGATGGTACACGATTCCCAATACAATTGAATTTAAACGTAACCAAAGCGACTCATATTCGTGACTTTCAATCTCTTTAAGATGAATGAACGGAAGCATGTCCTTTACAAAGACACAGACTCCACCTCCTCGTCTGCCGTCGGAACGATCATGCCTCAGTAAGGAATAACCGCATAAATCTATTGCTGAATTAGGAACATTTGAAGAAAGCCACGTTTCGGTAACAACGACAATGTCTGATGTATAGGATTTTACTGTAGCAGACAGTTCGTCAATCATGCTGATCAGCGATCTTGAATTAGAAACAAATAAATTCGGTAGTGAAGAGAGTAAGGGCGTTTTTTTGGTTTGGTGGCCACTAATATAAATTAAATTATTTCTACGGTTGAAACTTTTCCCTGGTACTGGAACCGATTGATTTTCCATTTGTATGTGTTCAGGACAATGCTGTAGTGTTCTTAATTGTCTAGGTTTTGCATTTATTTTTCTTTGAAAGTTTGATACGCGATGGGTTATTCTCACAGGAATTTCTTTAGAATTAAAGTTAACTTCAGCTACTTTTTTATGCAACCGGCCCCTGATTCTATTCCAGAACATATATATATATATATATATATATATATATATATATATATATATATATATATATGTGTATATATATATATGTGTATATATATATATGTGTATATATATATATGTGTATATATATATGTGTATATATGTATATATGTATATATATGTATATATGTATATATATGTATATATGTATATATATATATATATATATATATATATGTATATATATGTATATATGTATATATATGTATATATGTATATATATGTATATATATGTATATATGTATATATATGTATATATGTATATATATATATATATGTATATATATATATATGTATATATATATATATATGTATATATATATATATATATGTATATATATATATGTATATATATGTATATATATATGTATATATATGTATATATATATATATATATATATATATATATATATATATATATATATATAT